CATTCAATATAGTTAAAAACATTTGCTCACCGACGTTTACAGGCGATCCGGCCATGCTATGCATATAACTCACGGTTTCTCGTACTTCTGTACGGCGAAGAGAATAAACTTTGTCCAAAGTAGCGTTGCTAAGCATCTTGAGTACACAAACCTTTCTCAACATCCTCCATTCAGGACCGTAGTGGTTCCCCACTATATCACGCCCGCCCGTCACTAACATGCCAGCCACAGGCACATCACGGTTGGCAAACACGATGTCTTGGTCTTTAAGTACTTCCCGGGCGGCGGATGGAGAGGTCACCAGGATCCCAATCTTGCTCCCGAGCTGGAGTTTCACAACAGGTCCGTAGGTACGAGCTAGTTCGGCGAAGTAGGAGTGAAGGTCAGGTTGAAGGAAGGGACGGTTTCCCACCAAGGGGAGGCCTCGAGGGCCTGGTGGGGATGGTGGCTTCCCCTTATTCTTGGATTTGATGTACATCCATGTATACCAAAAAACTGCAAAAACAACAACAAGGGTGAATAAGAGGCGTGAGAAATCTCAATTCCGTTGGTATTCTGGCTTAACCATGACCATACTTTAGAGTGAGAGTAGTCAAAACGGAGAGAAGTTGAGATGAGAGTCATGGTAACGGAAGAACAAGGTAGAGGGGGCAAAATTCTGGGATGGAGGAAATACCGAGCCCTTTGGCTTTTATCTTTTTCTTATAGTGACGACAAAAATGAGCCATTCGTCCTTGTTTGGAACATGGCAAAGGGATCTTATCAAAATTTATTAAAACTAGTTTGTTCAAACCAGAATATAAAATAAATGAAATGAAATAATTAAAGGATTGACTAAAACCAATTACTGACGCTGTTCTTTTTAGTAATAAATTAAGTGCTACAGAAAAAATTAATCATGTTTTGTAGTTGGTATATATGTTTTACATGTTTGAAAACTGACAAAAAATTATATTCAACTTTAGGTTCTGAGTTGTTCATTCTTAATTTTAACCATTAAACTTTGTCTAATCAAATTAGAGAAATTAAACAAAAAAAGATTATTTATCTGACAAAGACAAAATCAGTTACCTAATTTAAAATAACAGTTAAACTAACACATAATAATACTTTAAAAAGTGTTAGAATCCTTTAACAACAGTAAAATAATTTCTGTGTAAAATATTTTATTAAAAAACTTAATATTTTTTATTATTTTCATAAATTGTTGAAACTATTAACACTCATCAATCATGCAATATATTCGAAACATTTTTTTAATATTAAACTATTATATATAAATAATATTTATTTATTTCTCATCATATTATTATATTAATTAATTTGTTAAGTCAATAAATTATAAATTATAATTGAAGGATCATTTGATAATAAAAAATTAACTTATTTGAAATTTTTTTTATGAATAACATTTTATTGAAATATACTATTTTTTTATTTTAATAAATTGAGAAAAATATTCTTTATTATTTTGATCAAAATATTTCCTATCATAATCTATTTTTAAAAAAAATTTCACTATGACAAATAAAAATATCAACATTCATTGATTTCTAACTATTGAAACTCATTGAAACATTAAAAAATAAACCCAAAAAAATCCATAACCCAAAAATCCAAAATTCATTTTCAAAAAATATAAAAAAATCACAACCATTGAAATCTGAAAATCCACCTTAAAACCAACGGGAAAATACACAGTTCAAAACGGTGTGAACAAGTAAAAGGAACATCAACAATTGGATTAAGCAATTAGAAATAACTAAAAATAAATTTCAAGATTGAGAATCTGATCGTTGATAACTTGAAAAAAAGAAGAAGAGAGATTTGAAGCTGAAGTTGAAGCTAAAGAGAAGAATTGTAGAAAAGAAAAGCAGAAGAGTGATTTGAAGCTGAAGCTAAAGAGAAAATCTGTGAAAAATCAAAGGAAGAGAGAAGAACTTAAAAAAAAAAAGAAAAAAAAAGGGGAGAATTAGGGGAGATACGTGAGTTTCATGGTGGCTGGTGATGAAGAAAGGGCAAGGGAATAGAGTAGCTGGTGGGTTTGCTTTAAGTTTCCCGTGGCTGGTGATGGAGGGAGATGAGAGTGAAAAGTACGGTGAAGTCTTTTGGAAATTGCCTTAAGGGTATAGAGGGGAAGACAATTTTCCATGTTACCAAACAGGGCCTTAACTAGTCATGGATTTATGTGTTGTTGAACTTAATTAATTACTTGTAAATTTTTGAAACATTTTTGGTTAAATTAACGCACCTATATCACCTTAAATTTGATTTAAACATCATTCTTTTTAATCTTTTAATTGCATTAATTGAGCTCTTGATATGCATTAACAACAAGAAATTAACAAGACAGTATTATTCAAAGTGTGATATGATATTCCATTTTATAAAAAATTATTCAGATAGGTTAATTTTATGAAGCATTATTATTGTTGATGTTCCACTACTTCTTCTTAATTATGTAATTCAACCCAATGTTTATAGGACAAGTGTTACGATAATTTTTAAATTTAGAAATAAATTAAAAGGTAATAGAAAATAATTAAAAGTAAAAAATATTAAAATGATGATATATATTTTTTATAATAATATAAATATAATAAAAAAATTTTACAGATTATAATTAATTTTAAGTTGAATATGTAATATTAAAATTTAATAGTTTGATTAAAAAATTCAGCAAAACATCCGGGTTCAAAAGCCAAAAGATTGTCCCAAATTGCAGGATTTCTGTGTATCGTCCATGCATTTACAAGTACCCTAGCTAGCACCTTCAGGAATCAAGCAGCCACCAACAGGACAGGATGTGTCTGCACTTTGAGGAACCAGAGGACGAGAGACTGGATGCAATCGCAAGACCTCCTTCATTACAGAATTTAGATATATCAGTTTTGGTATGAGACTCCTCTGCCACATCATTCATTCCCACAATTTCCTCCAACTCTTGCTGGACTTCCCTCATTATCTCTGGTTGTTTAATCACTTCTGTCATTGTCCAACAGCTGTTATCATTGTGGATGTAGTCCCAGCTACCACATTTCCTGTTAAAAATGAAGACATTAAACTTTGTTGTTGTGAAAAGAATGGCTTAAGTTTGGCTAGCGTGGTATTATATAAGGCAAATTGTGCCTTTTTGTTGTGCTAAAATGACTAGGAAGCCAAGACAAGAGAATGTTAATTACCAATAACAAGGCCATAAGATGGCTCATCGTGAAGGGATTCTTGGACCTTGGATCTTCCTGCCATCTCTTCTTGCTTCCTCATTGACTTGAGCCGCTCGTGAACAACAGAATCAACTACGTGATCGTTCGCTAACATTAGTTCCTTTGTCTTGCGGACGAATCGCACCCTGTATGTCCAATCAAGCTATT